ATTTCAATTCATATATGGGTCCTTGTTTAAGTCAAATTAAATAAACGTTAAAGATGAACACCATAGTGTAAGCGCTAATCAGTTAATAAGTTAATACGATATGAGCCACTTGCTTGGACTCTCTCGACATTTTTTTATCCCATGATCTGAATCCATCATTTTCTAAGGCATAATTGGAAGATCGTCCTTACAAAAAAAATTCTCTTACATCGATAAATGAGACCAAATAAATGAAGCACGGCAAATGGAAAATGATATCTCAATTTGTCAATACGTAACAGACTGAGACAAAGATGTCTTTGTCCAAATATAGATGGAAGTACTGATCTTCTTTTCTTGCTTCTTGTTAATCAAAGCCGCCATGTTGATAATGTTGGAGATTGAAGGTTTTTTTCACAAGCAGCCATATGTTGTGCTGTTTGAACTTATTTTTTTGTTTGACGGGCTGGTGTTTTATTTATCAAATAATGTGTCAAATTGTCAACATACACGTCATTCTCATACAGAGCAGTGCATCAAATAGATTTCAATTCATATATGGGTCCTTGTTTAAGTCAAATTAAATAAACGTTAAAGATGAACACCATAGTGTAAGCGCTAATCAGTTAATAAGTTAATACGATATGAGCCACTTGCTTGGACTCTCTCGACATTTTTTTATCCCATGATCTGAATCCATCATTTTATAAGTCATAATTGAAAGATCATCCTTACAAAAAAAAAATTCACTTACATTGATAAATGAGACCAAATAAATAAAACACAATGTTGTTAATAAACAATAAAATGTTCAAGGCAATGCTAAAATGCCTAGATTGTTTCAGATTTTACAAGGATGATATTAGAATGAGGAGCAAAAACTGTTTCAACACACAAGCAATGTCGCAGTCGCCTTTCAATTAACCAAAACGTGCGCCAACTCCATGACTAAATCAACGGTAGGTAATTGATGTGATTTTAGAAACTGTAGAAGATATTTAGATGGGGACGACAGACTCTCATGACATAAAATATTAGAATTGCATAGCCAAGCAGGCAATCCTGTAAACAATGATATTAGGGTTTGGGAAAAAGGCAAAGTCATTTGTGTAACAGAAACAAGATGCTAGAACAAGGGAATTTCTAAGAGTCTTGAACATGAGCAAAATTCAGTCAGTTCCTTCTCAAAGGTGTCCTTAAACATTTCGGACAAGTAAATTATAAAGATCCTTACCATAGGTCTGTTGGCCTTGTATCCAAACTAGTTGCTCACGATTTCAGCTGGCAGTGGAAGCTCCTCCTATGTGCAAGAAATTTCAGTGATTTGAATTGTATTTTAAGCACATCAAATGGGAAAATGATATCTCAATTTGTCAATACGTAACAGACTGAGACAAAGATGTCTTTGTGTGAAGATGGAAAGACTGGTCTTCTTTGTGCAACTGCTGGTTTGCATATGTAATAATGTTGGAGATTGAAGGAGGTTGTGTTGTTTGCACTTTTTTATTTCCGATGGGGTTGTTGTTTGTACTCCAGCTTGGCTGATTGAAAAATTCCTATAGCTTTTACTGCTGAAAGTCTTTAATTTTTATCATCAAGAGTGAGTTGTATGTTGACTTTGAATATTATGCTCGATTGCTGACTTTGAATCCACAGAACCATATTCATTCACTTTGCTCATTTTGTTTGCTTCTTGATAAATTATTATACTCTCATGTTATTTATCTATCTGGTAGCAAATGTTGAAAAAGTCTTCAAATTTAGTAGCAAAGATTTCACAAATCATATTAAAAGCTTAAACTCATAACTCAATTTCAAAGGCAATATATTTTAATAGAAGCAGCTCATTACATGCTGGAAAGTTGGAAGGATGGAGTGGACTTGTATGTTAGAGAACCCCAACAAATATTTAACCCACCCACATGTCTCATATAGTAATACAAGTGAGGGAAAATTTGCAATTTGGTGTGATTAAGAAAAGATTTCTAATTTCTTTAATGGGTTATTTACACTAACACCCTCCACGGGGGTTCAAAAATTATGACAACACCCTTTAGGAATGAGTTGTGTTTCCATATAGGCTTCGAAAAGCTTACACTTTTGGAGTTGCTTAGGGCCTGTCTGTAACGTTTTCATAGAATGTTTTTAGAGAATATTTTTTAAAAATCAAACGATAAAACAAATTTGCATTTTCAAAATTCAATCTACAAAAAGCAAGCTAAATCCGTATATCAGTTTCGTGAGCTGCATAATGTATGTATGGTTAATTTATTTGATAATCATATTTCAGTTTCGTTTGTAATATCTGTTGCAGAATCAAATTGTAGAAAAATGGCGCAAAGATCACTTTTTGCTTAGATGGAAATATTGATCTTCTTTTTGTCCTTCTTGTTAATCAAAGCCGCCATGTTGATAATGTTGGAGACTGAAGGTTTTTCACCCAAGCAGCCATATGTTGTGCTGTATGAACTTGATTTTTGTTTGATGGCCTGGGTGGTGTTTTATTTACTTATGTATTTTAACAGATGGGGTGTTGTTTTATTCAGTAGCGACGTTTTTGTCATCCTTCCAGAGATTGTTGACAAATATTTGGTCAGGCGAGAAGACAAGTTCTTCATGGAATTGTAGCCCTCTTTGTTACCAAAAAAAAAAATTAATTGTATTTGTTTTGTGAATTTTCATATCCCGGTAAGATATAATATCCAGCCAATAATGCTAGACTGGATGAGGTTTTATTTATTTATCAAATAATGTGTCAAATTGTCAACATACATGTCATTCTCATACAGAGCAGCCAAATAGATCTCAATTCATATATGGTGGTCCTTGTTTAAGTCGGATTAAATAAACGTTAAAGATGAACACTAGAGCATAAGCGACTAATCAATTAATAAGTTAATACGATATCCACCACTTGTTTGGGTCCTCTCGACATTTTTTTATCCCATGATCTGAATCCATCATTTTATAAGTCATAATTGAAAGAAATCCTTACGGAAAAAAATTCACTTACATCAATAAATGAGATGAAATAAATAAAACACAATGTTGTTGATAAACAATAAAATGCTCGAGGCAATGATAAAATGCCTAGACAGTTTCAGATTTTACAAGCACTATCGCAGTCGCCTTTCAATCAACCAAAATGTGCGCCAACTCCATGACTAAATCAACGGTATGTAATTGTGATTTTAGAAACTGTAGAAAGTAGAACTAGGGCTATGCAGGATCCAAACTAATCCACTAAAATCGACCAATTCAATCTAATGCAATCCAATTTTCATTGGTTTCAATAACATTGGCGGATTGGATTATCGGTTCGGTTGGCGGATCAAGAATTGAAAATCCAATTTAAACCGAACCAATCCAATATACACATTAATATATTAATCGTATTTTCGAATAAATTAAAAACATTAACATATTAAATATATTATTATATTAATTTCTATTAAAAATTAATATTTTAATGTCATATCTTTAATCAGATTGAATTTTGTATTATATGTAATGAAAGATTATGAAGTTTTTTTGTGATGATTATTTTTTCATACAAACTGATCATCGATTCAATCCAATGTACATTGGATCAGATTGAATTGGATCCTAACATCCAACCATATTGAATTGGATTGTAAAATTTGTAATCCAATAAAAGATTGGATTGGTAAAAAACCATTGGTTTCAAATTGATGCTCACCCTTAGGTAGAACAACACATTAATTTAGATGGGGACGACGGACTTTCATGACATAAAATATTAGAATTGCATAGCCAAGCAGGCAATCCTGTAAACAATGATATTAGGTTTTCGGAAAAAGGCAAAGTCATTTGTGTAACAGAAACAACATGCTAGTACAAGGGAATTTCTAAGAGTCTTGAACATGAGCAAAATTCAGTCAGTTCCTTCTCAAAGGTGTCCTTAAACATTTCAGACAAGTAAATTATAAAGATCCTTACCATAGGACCTGATAGTGTTACATAGATCCAACGATACTTGACAATGAAACATGGTAGTGGCGGAAATGCAAAAGGGAAAAGATCCCATATAACACTATGTTTAGAGGTTTATTGCTTTTGTATTTTCTTCAAA